TCTGTACCCTTACTACTCTAGTGTGGCATTAATGGCCTTGGTAATTAAATGATTAATTTTATGCGTTATTTTTTTTAATTTGATGCAAAAATAATTTTTTATTGAGGTATAATTGATATAGCACATTACACTAGTTTCCGGTGTAAAACGTAATGATTCAGCCCTTGTCTGTATTGCAAAATGATCATTGCTGTAAGTCTGCTTAACATCTGTTACCATACGTAATTACAGAATTGTTTTTCTTCTGATGAGACCCTTTAGGATTTATTCTTATCAACTTTCACATGTGCAATACAGTATTATTAACTATAGTCACTATGCTATACAGTACATCTGCATAACTTATTTAGTTAACTGGAAGTTTGGCCTTTTTGATTCCCTGTACCCATTTTGCCTACTCACTCACCCCCCTTCCTCTGGCAACCATCACTCTATTCTCTGTTTATGTGAGCTTGGTTTTGTTTTGTTTAGATTCCACATATAAGTGAGATCATATGATATTTATCTTTCTTTGTCTGATTTATTTTACTTAGCATAACACCCTCTAGGTCCATCCATGTTATCATAAATGGCAAGATTTCATTCTTTTCTATGGGTGAATATGCCATAATTGTGTGTGTATGTGCTTTATACTTTTATATGTTTCTGTTGATAAAAGTGCTATGAAGCAAAGATTTTTGTCTATTTTAATCAGCAGTGGGTTCTTAATGTTTTGTACATGGTAGACACCAGAAGGAAACACAGAAGACTTCCCTCCCACTTAGGAAAGAAGCATGTTTTGGTCCTTTTTTCTGGCATCATTTATTATTATTTTACTTCCTAATCTTCATAATGTTTCTCAAGGCAGGGTGGAGGAGGGCTATACTTGTTTATTCCCAGGATTTATAGATGTTCAAAAACACGTGAGGTATTAGAAGGATTATTTTAATGTCATGGGATACAAAACATTCAAATACAGTCTCGTGATAACAGTGAATTATATCAGCATCCTATTATATTTGCATTACTACTGAAGTCTCTGGTTTCTCTCAGTGAATTGTAATAGGGGTCAGCAACCATTTTCTGTAGAAGAACAGATAGTAAATATTTTTAACTTTTCAGACATAGTCTATTTCACCAACACTCAACTCTGCCATTGAAGAATGGAAGTGGCTATAAAAAATACATAAATGAATGGCCGTGGCTGTTCCAATAAAACTTTATTTGTGGATACTTAAATGTAAGTTCCATGTAATTTTTAAGTATCAAGAACTTGTATTCTTTTGATTTTTTTTTTTTTTTTTGCAACTATTTAAAATGTAAAAAACATCTTAGGGGCAATACAAAAACAAGTACGTGGCCCCTGGGCCGTAATTTGCTGACACTCTGTCTATAACTACCTCTGTGCTTAATCAAACTGTCATATACAAGATTAAAATAGGGAGTAAAAGGAGATGGCCCCTTTCTGTATAGAAATAGTGTGGGCTATGTAAAGGGATGGGAATTTTTAATTGTACAAAGAATTGCTTAAGGACAGTTCTTCCAGATTTTGTTGCCTGTTTTACCTATTGGTAAACACTATTTTTAAAAAAATTAATTTCTCCAGTATTTGTGCCCTAATCTACTTATCTCTTGAGGCCAGCACTTCAGATTTAATATATAAATCTTCAACAGAGTAAATTTTATTTTTTTTCAACCATAGATTTTAAAAAGAATTTTTAGTGGAAATTAATTTCTTTGATACTATCAGGTATCTTAATATCTTGCCATATGGTAAGTTTCCTTATAAGTGTAGTTGAAAAATGAGAGAGGTTTTTTTCCTCTGCCAATTGGAGCCTTAATTTTGAAACGTGAGGGTAATGGAATTTAGCATTGACCTAAATTACGAATTGTAACAGTGTGTACTTGTGTCACATCAACCCTAACCTTTTAACTCTGAATTTCTGAGCATCTTTATTGAATTATTTGATATTTTTATTTTTTATTTTTTTAAAAAGATTTTATTTATTTGAGAGAGAGAGAGAGAGCATGAGAGGGGGGAGGGTCAGAGGGAGAAGCAGACTCCCTGCTGAGCAGGGAGCTGGATGCGGGACTTGATCCTGGGACTCCAGGATCATGACCTGAGCTGAAGGCAGTCGCTTAACCAACTGAGCCACCCAGGCGCTCGATATTTTTATACTAATTGCTCTTCCAGAATGATTTTTACAAATTTTCATTCCCACCAATAGTGAATGTGAATAAAGTGGAGTGATTTTGAAATTCCTTAAATATATTCTGAGCACGGTAGATCTTAGGTAGTAAATGCTACCTAAGTTCTCCAGCTACCCAAAAGCTTCGTTTCCATATATGGATTAAAATGCATACAGCATTGGATATGATGTCTTCAGTCGCAATATTCCAAGTTTGTTTCCAGATTTTTCTGATTTATCAATTAGATAAAATAATCCATGATTAATTGTACTGTGGAACGATAAGGAACTCCTTTGTTACACGGTGCTTGTAGTTATTTCATTAGGTGAAAAGAGATGAAATTAGAGGTTAATCTAAAATTTGAGATTACCCTACATTAAAATTAATGTAAACAAGGTGAGAGTATTGAATTATATTGATGTGAATATTATGTTTTTGTTTTCTTGATGCTTTTAGAGGCTTAGAGAATGTTAAACCTGAATGGGACTTTGGCATCTTTAGGAGGATCTTTATTTAGTTCCTTTTCATTTTATAGCTGAGGGAACTGCGAGGTCCTTTCCTAGCAGGTTGTGGTTGTGTAACTATGTTCTTGGATGCTTGGGTTTGGAATTGGGATTTAAACAGCATGTTATCTCAGTCCTTTCTTTTTTTTATTTTTATTTTTTTTTTAAGATTTTATTTATTTATTTGAGAGAGAGAGAATGAGAGAACACATGAGAGGGGGGAGGGTCAGAGGGAGAAGCAGACTCCCTGCCGAGCAGGGAGCCCGATGTGGGACTCGATCCGGGGACTCCAGGATCATGACCTGAGCCGAAGGCAGT